CACTGTATAGTGGGGAAATGGCGAAAGAACGGAGTGAAACGGTCAAAATCCTGCGAAGAAAAAGCCTCCGTTCTCAGTGACTTGAAAATCGATTTCGGACGAGTTACCAATCACCGCTACCGAAGATACGGCTGCATATGTGTACCCATGTATGCATGCAGCATCACGGCCGCTTCATACCAATCCCTTCGCTTCATAATTTGCTTAGCAAATGAATGAATACGAGCGTCAGGAACGGTCGTCCATTTGTGGGCGGGCGGGCGTGGCGGCGTTTGGGACGTAAAGTTGTGGCTTGATAGGCCCTTATAAGGGCACCTTCCTCGAGGAAACCGCTATGCAGCGCCTGCCCAGGGTCGCGAAATTCTATCCTGCCAGGAGTATTGATCCTAGTCGTCTTAGGGGATTCGTCGTGCCAACTGCCTTTAAGGAAAGGAGGAGAGCTCGGCGTCAGTCGGTACTCTTTCTTCGTCCCATTTGAGCTCTGCCGTGTATAGCGGGTTAGTCGACACTAAGATTGTTGATAAAGCCTGTAGGATAACATGGGTAGGCATTGATGAGAAAGCGACGGAGGAAGCTACGCGCGCTTACGATAGGGAGGCCATAAAGGAAGTGGTTGAAACTTCAGGAGACAAATGCCTCCTAGAAGAGTTCAACCATGGTCGAATAGAGTTTTGCAGACACCCGAGAACAAGAGTTCCAGGGCGCCTGCAAAGCTCCCGTCCGCGCATTATCAAAGTGAGCCTAAGGAACCAGGAACTCAGGGACCGCTTGCTACAGCATATGAGAAGTGGGCGTCAGTCTCTTACCAAAGATTTCGTCCATTCATATGCCCGCCCTGACTATACCAGGGAAGAGATTGAGTATGATCGCGCGCTACGTAGGAAAGCAGGGATTATGAACAGCCAAGAGGGAAAGCTTACATATATAGTCCGCGATCTTGCGATACACAAGCTCCGCGCGAGTTACCTGCAAACAACCCTAGCAATCGCCAATCTCCTATCGCTCTCACTCTGTCTCCGATTTCAATCTCACAAGTTGATGGTGCTGCAGAAGTTGCTCACTAGGAAACAGGGGGAGGTAATGCGCGCCGCTCATCAAGTCCATACATTCGAAATAATAGCGGCTCGTGTGATTTCCAGTTGTTCAATGCTCGCTCACTTGTAAATAAAATAGCCGACTTGAACTTCCTTTTGCATGAAAAGCCTCATGGATTATTCATAACAGAAAGTTGGTGTAAGCCTTGGTCTATTCAAGACGCCGTGCTCAGCCATAGGTCCAACTACCATGTCTATCGTTGTGATCGAGAAGGTGACAGAACTGGAGGGGAGTAGTGGCACTGATTCATTCCTCAGTTTCCCACCAGTTTTTGGCCAAGAGGGACTTCCACGGACATATTCAAATGATTGCTCTTCCAAATAGATACTGAAAGCCAAAAAGTGCTCACTCTCCTTACGTACAGAAGCCCATCATGTAGTACCTCCTCGTTTACTGATTTTGTCGAGTATATTGAATGCTTTCTGAGCGAGTGGAGGGATCCCGTAGTAATTTTGGAAGACTTCAACTTCCCTACAATTGATTGGCACAAGATGGCCCACAGAGGCAATGTAAATATTAACGCAAGCCTCCTCCTCGTTTCTCAATCTTGCCCGCTCATTCAGTCTTACACAAATGATAAA